AAAAAACAAAATAAAATTAAAGGTACATAACGTTCTGAAATGATGCAGCCATAACGTGATTGAAAGACCCATTGAAATTTTTTTTAATTCTGTTGATAATTTAATTTTATTATAATTGCCTAGATAATAAATTTATAAATTAAAAAAATACTAAATATTTTATTGATAGAAATAACATAAATTTTACAATATTTAGATAAAATCTCATACCTCAAACTCGTTATGTATTAACTTGTTGAAGCTAATAATTCTTATTTAATTTTTTTCACCTCACGTCCCAAATATTTTTCTTTTCCTCACACTTGTCTGTATTTTTTCTTTTGCCTAAAACTATTTACATGAGTAGAAATGTTATCATTTTTCTTTCAATTCTTTATTGCTGTCGTTCACATTTTTCATATTTATTGCTAATGCTCTTGCGTTTTTCATCTTTATTGTTGTCGTTTCTCTCTTTACTGCTACCGCCTCACCTTTCCCTTTTTATTGTTTAATTAATCCAAGTTTTAATTTCCAACATTAATTAATCAAGTTTAACTATCCAACATCCTCTCTTAAATTTGATTTAACTAATCCCAACATCTTCTTTAACTTGATAAATATAACTACTTTAAGTGGCTTTGTGAAAATATCTGCAATTTGATCTTCAGATGCACGATACTCTACTATGATCTCTTTATATTTCATTAAGTCATGAATGTAATGATATTTGATGTCGATGTATTTGCTACGACCATATAACACTAGATTCTTTGTTAAGGTAATAGCTGACTGATTATCACAATAGATTATTGTTGGGCCATCTTGTCGATGTTCTAACTCATTAAACATCTTTCATAGCCAAACTACTTGAGCAACGCAACTTGCAGCTGCTATATACTCTGCTTCTTCTGTTGAAAACATTACTATTTGTTGTTTTTTAAAGGATCAAGTAAATGCACCTGAACCAAAATTAAACACATAACTTGAAGTATTTTTCTTTTCTTCAGTATCACCTACCCAATCATTACCTGTATACCCAACTAATTCCATCTTGTTAGTCGTTAAATAGAGAATGCCATCATCAAACGTTCCTGTAATATATCTCAATATTCTCTTTGCAGCTTACTAATGAGACTGTCTTGGTAATTCCATAAATCTACTTTCAATTCCAAATCCATAAACAATGTCAGGTCTAGTTATTGTTAAGTACCTCAAACTTCTAATAATTCTCGTAAAATTTGTTGCATCAACAAAATCACCGTTTCCGTCTTTTATAAGCTTTAACATTTCTTCCACTGGTGTTAGTATTGAGTTGCAGGTTTCCATTTATTTAAGATATCTCATGTATATTTTGTCACGGACCACACCTCGTCTTATAGGATAATGACCAAAGCATATTTCTTTAAATCATATAGACTCAAGTTAAGTAAAATAACTTAACTTTATTAATAATAAAAGAGTCACAAAAGCATTACATTCTTTAAATATAAAATATAAATATATGTACGATACTCTAAATTTTCTTACTTAAATTACTAAATAAAAATACGAAACAATAACCTTAATATTAGGGTCTAGGCTTCAGAGATTTCCTTCGTATCACCGCTCACTCTGCAGCTGTATCTTCTGTATCTTGAGGGTGATAGGAGGGGTGAGATAAAATATCCTAATAATCGATATTATGAAATCACAATATAATACATGTAGTATATAGCTTATTTACACACAACAGAACATATATAATATAATCTTTCCAAACCAGATACGAATCAGAAGACGAAAGCACAAATCATAATGCATGTTGTATACTTCATCACTATTATGGAGGATCAATCAGTTACCATATATTATGCATAGACATAGATACTTATCACTAGTTTTTCATGTACCCGAATACGGAACAACATACATGAGTACCTTGAAACACTGCTACCCCCTAAAAAGGAATGGTTAGGACACGTAGATCAGATTGTTTTTTTCATATACTCGAACATAGAATGGTTATATATGGGTACACACTTATCATTTTGCCAATACACTAAACACGGAACGGTTATGTATGCCTAGATTAAACCCTAGCATAATGTAGGTGCTTTTGGATAACTTCTTTCTATAATGAGTTATGCACACATATCAAAATTACATTTTGAAAACACAAAGTGAAATAACATTTATAACGAAGTAAAATTTTAATAAATACTTACTTAAAAAATACGGAAGATAAATTAAACATGTGCACATTTTTATACTGAAAATACATAAAATACTTCAAAACTATATAGGCTATGAATTCATAATATCCATTTACCTTAGCTCCTTAGCAGTCCTAGTCTTAATTCCGGCAGAGTTTTGGCTTTATTTATGATTTTTTCCTCTAAAAAAATTTGGCTGAGTTTCGAGATGATTTTGATCACTTTCTTGACTCAAAAATATCCAACACAATACTCAAAACTAATCCTAAAAATCAAAGAGAAATCAAACTTCAAAACTTAAAAAAAAGCTTACCTTTCTAACGGTTTATAGCTTCCTTTTTATCGTGAGCCTTATTCTTCTTTTCTTCCTCTTTCTCTGCTCTCACAAATTTAGCAGAGTTTTTCCAAAGTTTTTTATCTAAAACCTCAAAATACTCTCAAATATCACTCACTTTGTACTCCTTTTTCTTCCTTCGCCTCTATGCTTCTTACTATTTTTTCTCATTCGGAATGTCTCTTCCTCCCTTCTCCTATCTCCTATTTATAGGAGTGGGGAGCCACGAGGGAAAAGTTGCCACCATTCTGTCTTACTATTTCATCTAAAAATTATTACTTTCCATCATATCACTTCACTTAAAAGGTTACCATTCTTCACATGTCGTTTTACCTAAAAAGTCTTTTAATATGCCACTTCATCTAAAATACTACTACTTTTCACATGCCGTTTTATTTTAAAAAAACCTTTCACATGTCACTTCATTTGTCATTTTTTGTTATATCATTTGGTCTAATAGTTATCACTTTTCATTATACCACTTCATTTAAAATATTCTCACTTTTTTTCATGTCTCTTTATGCTTATTCTAGCTCCTTCATCCTTATCCATTCTTTTTCTGTTTAACTCTACACTATGTTCTTAACCTAATTATATATTTTCAAACACATGCAAAGTTAAATTAAATATATCAATATAAAAAATTAACTTAGAAGTATTTTCAAGATATTACATATTTCTTTTGAGGAAATGAATATACTTTTATTTGTTTAATTGACCTCATACCTAAAAGGTAGACATTGACCCCATATCTGTCATATCAAGGTGGAGCAATCATATCCTCCCCGAA